GCTGGAAGCATGCATGCTAAGAAATTCTCTTCCACCCAAAATGATATAACCTTCAGTAATGTCAACAGCAACCTAATAGCATTTTCAGATCAATATGAGATCGAGAGAGAATTTCTTATATTGATTTAAGAAGGTGAATGAAAGCTCTTACCTAACAAGGACAAATGATTTAAGAAGTCTAACCTGTAACTGGTCGAAATTTCTTTCCAATACTTCCACGAGACATGGAAAATATGCTAAGAGTTGAGGCACCATTGCAGGTGCATGAGAAAGTGTAGCCTCCCACAACTACAGAGATGAGAACATGAAACATAAGTTTATGGTAAATGCAGCCAGATATATAATCAATGTTTGGGGCAGAAGTCTAACCAGCATGCTACCCTCCAGAAGATTGAGTTCATCTGGGCCATTTATATCAACCCCTTTCGAAGAATGGGCAGGAGCATTGCATAGCAACTAGGTGATTGACATCCAAGTGCAACAACAAAGTTCCGCAAAGCAGTAAGAAGCTGTATCTGTAGAAGGCTTTCACCAGAAGATTCCTCCCAAACCTTTTAATATTGAAAGGCTAAAGCAAATTAAAAGAAAATATATTTTAAAAGAGAACCTGATAAGTGATAAGTACTTATATTGTCAACAACTGAGCATATGAAAGAGAAGGAAGTAAAGCAGTGGCAACAATACCCTCTGGAAAAACTGCATCAAGTTGTTAGCATATGGGATTACTTCACTGACATGGCCCAGAAGAACAGAAATCAAATTTAAAACCTGGACCTGAAATTTATGTGAAAAGCAGCAAAATGTGAATTAAATGTCAGGATACACAGTTGCATATACAAGCGCATGCACGCTTGGAAACACAAACAAAGACTTTGAATTAAATTTAGGACTCCCAATGCCAGAATTTGCATCTCCTATCTGAGAACCTATATTTCCTAAACAAATCATCACAAATATGATCTAAAGTAGGAACAGGCAAAGCAAATCAGTACAAAGAGGTTATCCACACCTATTCAACATTATCATCAGATGCCAAACATGCATGAAAGAAATATTAAAGCTCCGAGTATAGATTCCAGAAATTTTCCACAATCCAGCTAGATATATAAATTTCCTTTTTCCATAAGAATGAAAGGAAAAAGAATGTCCAAGCAGGTAGTGAACATCAACAACAGAATTACCTTCGAATCTTGAACTTCTTTGACAAACAGGAAGTAGATCAGAAAAATCCTTCTCTGAAAAGTTTGCATCTTCAATATGAAAACACAATGATCTGATGGCAGCTAGCTAAACCAACAAAACACAACATAGTGAGCGAAGTACATAATCTTCATAAATAGATTATTATGAAGGGGTAGAGAAAGCAGAGAGACATGATGAAAAAGGAAAAGCGAAGTGATAGAACATACCCTCACAGATAGGTCTTTGGCCCGTAACAACTGTATCAAGGCACAGTATACAGGTCTTTTTGTATCGTCCTTAATCTGCAGGGATGCAAACATCAGTAAAGAATCATTATGATTAATTTCCTGCTGCAACCAAAGTAGAAATTGAAGAGGAATGACAAATGCATACACAGTATTATATCGACATTACAAATTCTAGACTTAAACTGCATCATTCTTTTCTATGAAAACATGAAACAGGTTCCTCATTTCTTGATATAAATTCATGTAAAAATCAATCATCCAATGCACCGGATCAGAGCATATTCCTAGTGGCACTTATACAAACTCTTCCATTGATTTATGTACTCTATATTCTAGTGTTCCAGCAAATGGAACAGGATCAAGTGCCAAAAGATTTTAGAGTTACGGCTTGTCAAAAATCACTAGTTTCTTATCGGAGGGAAACAAATTTCAAGGCTCAATTAGAAATCTACTACACCAGATAGGAAAAGGTTTAGCAACCATCATATTCTGGGAGCTAAATATAGATGTACAAGCTTCTGAACTAAAAATTGGTGGTCATCATTAAGCTATATTGATAAGACCTGTCCCAAATGATGTGGAGGCCCTGTACAACTTTTAAAAATGAGACCCTTAAAATATTTTATAATAAAGATTAATTTGTTAAATTTGAAATTATGAGGGATCTACGAGGTTTCTTTTACCAAAATTTATCATGAAAAACAATTAAAGATATTGTCAAAATCTTTGTTTATAACTTTCTTTGTCATTTTCTCTAGAATCAAACGGAAAATTTATTTTCTCTTCGAACGTAAATATTGTTAGGGCACAAATATTATACATGGACAAGCCTAAATGACATTTATGTGTGAGATCCCTAAATTTTGGGGCCCTGTGATAGAATACATTCTACACTTGTCATTGGACGTGTCTAATACTGATGAATACCTTAACATACTATCTCAGATACATGGCAAAATCAATTACATTAGAAATGAAACTTAAACGTGAAAATTCGTATTGAAACGGGAGATAAAATGTCGAAAAAATACCTTACCGAGTTTGAATTTGGCAAAACAGACTTCAGATTCAGGCTCAGGACGTCGATAAACATAAAATATGACTTTTTTCATAAAAATTGACTTTTTTTGGTTAAAGTCAAAATCAACGATGGTCAAAGTTAAAGTCAATGAGTTGACTCTGTTTGAGTTGACTTGATCAGGTTGACTCAGATAGTTGACTTACCTTGACCGGTTTGGGTTGACTCAGTCGGACTAAACATACCCGGTTCATACTGGGTTGGGTCGGTTCGATCTACCTGGATCGTATTAGAAGGCTCTTGGCGACGACGGGGGTAGTTGAGGATGGTTGATTACTTCATGTTCAAGTACTCACCAAAATCACCCAAAAAACATATAAAAAAATCCAATTAAAACTTAGTGAATCGTGCGGAAGAAAATGGTTAGATCACTTACCACGACGGATTGCGAACGAGAGACAGTGGGGCGATAAATCTTGTCGTGGTTTGGTCGGAATACCATGAGGATTCGAATGCCAACGACGGTGAGGCGAGCCGACGCATTGATCGATCAGAATCGAGTGGCGGGAGAAGGGTTTTCGACGTACCTTTTCGACTTAATTCACGATGATCGGTGACACTTTTAGTCGTCAATCGACGACGAGTTGAAATGAGTCGATGACGTATCGAACGACGGTCGAACGATGACGATTTATGGAGGTCGACGTGGATTCAGTTTAGGGGAAGTTAGGGATTTGGGGAAATTGGGAACTAGGTAATATAACTCGGGTTTAAACCAATATATTATATATTTAATAAAAATATTATCAACAATATAGGTATCCTTATCTCTCGGGGACAGGGGTTCGAACCCCGCTACAACCACTTCGTTTCTTTTTTTTTTCTGTCGACATAAAATGGAGAAATCCAAGGTTAAGTCCTTGAACTTCCTACAACTTTTTAAAACAACCTCAAAGTTTCAAAAACTTACAATTTGCTCCCTAATTTCATTAAATAAGTTTAAATTAAAGACAACTTAAAAAAATTGGGGTGTGCCAAATTTTAATGTTGTAAATAGAAAAAATTTAATTTTTAAATATCAAGTTTTTTATATAATCATTAGCATTTAATTTATTGATCTATTAATTTGAATTGATGTTCATTTTTTGGTATAATAATCCGTATCGGATCTATTGATCGATTAATCCGAATTGAGCATTGCAGAGGAGATGATGATTCATCTTAATTGAATTACTCGATTAACAAACGTCAGATTTAAACTATGGACCTTACGCAAGTGATCTATTATCTCATGTCACTAGACTCATTATTTGTTGGTTACCAAAAATTTTATATTATTAATATATGTGTGTTCACCCTCAAATTTTTTTTCTAAATTCACCACTGTTGGTTACCATTAATCATCATTATAAGATCATACTTTTAATTTAATTTATTTAATATAAATCGTCAAAATTTAAGATTTAAATCAACAATTTAACCATTCCAATTAACTACAGATTAGAGGTTGTCATTACTCATGAGTAGTATTGGATCCAATTTAGTCCAATACATGAGTAAACATTACGCGGTAATTATGGAGTATATAATTACAAATAGTCCTCCAATTATAGGATATTATTTTATTAAGTCATTCGATTATTAAAAATTATAAAATGAATGATCCTTCGACTATAGAATGCTACTTTGTTGAGTCAATCTACTATTAGAAGTTATAAAATGGTCATCTGACTATTCATTATGTTCTAAACTCGTCATTTTCCGTTAAAAAATAGACAATATTTTTAGTTGAACGTCAACTTGTTGACTATGATATGATAAAACATGATCCTAGAATCTCAAATGACTATCATATCACAATCATCGTGTTGATGTCCAACTTAAATAATCTCAAATTTATTAATGAAAAATGATGAGTTTGAAACATAATGAATGCTCGGTGACCATTTTGTAACTTTTAATAGTCAAGCGACTTAACAAAACAATTTTCTATCGCCAGATAACTATTTTATAACTTTTAATAGTTAAAAAGTTTAATAAAATAATAATCTATATTTAGACGACCATTTGTGTACTTTACTCATAAAATTTTTATTTTATAAAATTTAAAATTATTAGATGAATGAAAATAGTCCATTAAAATTAAAATTAAAATTAAAATTAAAAGACATTCACCGAAAATTAATAAATTAATTGAATTATAAATTTTTATTTATTTAATTGTCATAAATTAATATAAAACTAAAAGAATTACATTATATAAATAAATTTTAACCCATAAAAATAATATATTATAAATTTTAATTAATTAAAATAAATTTAGATAAACATGAATCAGCCGTTAATGAAAAAGAAAATAATGTTTCGGCTCTCGCTAGCACAATCCAGGATCCCCAACCCAATTCTCCACGTGTATTTCTAAGTGTTTACATCATCTTCTCCAGGCACCACCTGTCAGTTCCTTGCCATCTTCACCTCCATATATATAAATAAACAAACCCCGATGGACAAACCCAATCCAGGCAGCAAAACTACAAGCGAAGAATCTAACATCAAAATCTTCTTGTGTGAACTTTTTTGTGGAAGACGAATGGCTAGCGACCAGGATCAGTTCAGGCTAGTATCCCCAGCCATAAACCAGGAAGGCAGGTTGCCGAGAAAATACACAGACGAAGGTCAAGGCGCAAAGCGCAACCTTTCTCCGCCGCTGGAATGGTACAATGTGCCCGAAGGTACTCGGACGCTCGCCCTGGTGGTGGAGGACAAAGATGCGCCCGACCCCAGCGGCCCCATCGTGCCGTGGACCTGTTGGGTAGTGATTAACATTCCGCCGACGTTGAAGGGTCTACCGGAGGGATTCTCGGGGAAGGAAGAGGAGGTGGGTGGTGATTATGCTAACATCAAAGAAGGCAACAATGATTATAAGGTTCCGGGGTGGCGAGGACCTAAGTTGCCGTCTCACGGCCACCGGTTCCTCTTCAGGCTGTTTGCTTTGGATGACGAATTGAATGTGGGCAACAAAGTATGTGTAGGGTTAATCGAGATCAAATGGAGTTTTTTTTTTTTTGAAATTTGAATGATTTGATGAATTTGGTTGTTGATTTTTGTGCAGGTGACCAAGGAGAAGGTGCTTGAAGCTGTCGAAGGACAAGTGGTGGCGGAAGCTGAATTGATGACCAAGTTTTAAGTGAAGGCTGTTTGCGTTTGTATTTTTAGTGCTTTGTGTGCTTCTTTGAAAGACGTCTGAACATCAATTAATCGACAGTTTATGAACTTTGGCTTTTCATTTTTGCTTTTATATGTGTATATATATAATCTGTAAACGAGCTAACCCAAGTTCTATTATTATCGAGTTCTAATAAAATTAAACTCTACTCATAAAGTGTACCAGATTAAAACATTTACCAACTTAAAATTATTAAGTTAGATTCAAAATCAAAATAAAAAATTGAAATAGAAAGTGAAACTTCACGAACTTTTTTATTTAAGTTTGACACGAAATTAATAATTAAAGTTTACTTTTGAGTTCAAAAAAAAAGTATATTCCTAATATTTTAGGACTACATATAATTAAAAAAAATACTACATGAAGAGTTTCGTAGGGTGTTTAGAACTTAAAAATAGCGGACCCTTATTCCCATATGTAATATGTAATGGGTATATGTAATGGGGTAAGGGGAGGTAGGATAGTAGGCTACTCCCAACACCAGGTTGAGAGCGAGACCTCCGAATTATGAAATATCCTCCGTGGGACTCGATCCCACGACCTCAAGGCTAGAATAAGGGTCCCATATGTAATGGGATAAGGGGAGGTATGATAGTAGGCTACCCCCAACACCAGGTTGAGAGCAGCTTCTGTGGGAGACCTCCAAATTATGAAATACCATTCGTGGGACTCGATCCCGACCTCAAGGTTAGAACTTGTTTTATTAAAAGTAGGTAAAAAGTTGACCCGAGTTGATTCGATTTGAGATCTTGAGTTGAACAATTTGTGAGTAGTTTGAACTTGATTTAATTAGATTTAATTAAAATTAGATAAAAGTTTGATTTGAAATTTTAACGAGTTGAGTCAATTAAAATTTGATTCGATTCAATAAGTTAGTGAGTAGTTTGTTAATTTTTTTATATATATAACATTTTAATAGTTATATTAAAAAACTATTTCATTCAAAATATTATTAATACATTAATGAATTATTTAAACCTAATAAACTTAATGTTATATATAAAAAATAGAATTATTGAAATGTATTTGTAGATTGTTATTTTGGAGTAAACCTAATAAACTTGACTAACCTGATTATTTAAACTGATTTATTCAATTTAATACCTAATATTAACCCGCACATGATGATCAAATATGATCCAAAACTCGAACTATACTCGATCTAAAGTTTAGTTGATCCAATATGGATCTATATTCAATTTGACCCCTATCGAAAACAACCCAAACTGAAAACAACCTGAATTGAATTTGATCTGAACCAAAAGTAATTCGAACTGTAAATTTATATATACTTGGTTAGAATTATAGCCGAATTAAGCCTAAATGATAAGATTAACATACAAGAACATATATTTTTATACGAATATATCAATAATTCTATATATATACTTGATTAGACTCATAACCAATTCAATCCGAATTAACTTGATTCAAAAGTTGACCCAAATCGAAAATCAACTGAACAAATATTAACCCAATTCAAAAATCAATCGATTCGATATTGACCGACCTAAAATCTAACCGATCTGATATTAACTCAACCCAAAAATCAAACGATTTGATAGTCACCCGACCTAAAAATTGATCAACTCGAAAATTGACCCGACTCGCTACCTGATTTCCCATACACCCAAACTAAATTCGAATGAGACCAAATTCAACCCGAATAAAATCAAACCAAAGATAATCTAGACTCGAAAATGATTTGACCCAAAATGACTATACCCAAACCTGATCCAAATGACCCATTTGCCAGCTCTACTTTGGAGTTTAAACTTTGAAATTGCTTTATACATTCTTTTAATATTCTTTTGGTTAAATTTATTAATTTATCTTTATATTAAGCTCTATATAGTATTTATAGATTTTATTTAAGTTTAGAAAATAGGATAAATTTTTTTTGATGAGTTTAACGAGCAATGAAGCATGTAACGAGCTTAATGAGAAATGAACTTAATGAGAAACGAACTTAACGAGCAACGAGTTAAGTAATAAATTTTTAAAGAGCACGAGTCAAGTAAAATTTTAACGAGCTTAATGAGTAACGAGTTGAATTCAATAATAAAATTTTTAACGAATATAAATCGAACACTGTCCAACTCGTGATCGACTCGCTCAATAAGTACCTATGAAATTTAATATTATAATTATAACATTTTATAATTTAGTGATTAAAATAGAAATGTGATTAAATTTAAATGATCAATGGTGTAGTTTATCAACATTTAAATAGAGGGAAATAGTCTCCCGTGCTTGCCACGCAATTAAAGCTAGAAAACTAAACTGCTGTACCGCCTTTCTTCCTCTTTCGGATCTGGAATCTCTAAACCCTCAAATTAGGGATCGCAACGGGTAGGAGTGTTCGAAATTCGGTTTTAATCGAATTAACCGACCGAATCGAATTAGTTCGGTTAATTCGGTCGAGAAACGATTAAAGATTTTTTTTGGAATTCGGTTAACGGTTAATTCGGTTCGAAATCAGTTAATTAACCGAATTAACCGAATTAACCTTTAAATATAATTATATTAAGAGGCCCAATCTATTTTAAATCCATTTAAAACCCAAATCAATATTAATTAATTAAAATAATATCAAAACTAAATGCAAAATGTTTGAATCAAATTAATTAGATATTATTTAAATTAATTATAAATTATTATTTTTAATTAAAAAAATATTAAATTCTAAAATTCTAAAAAAATTCAGTTAATTCGAAAATTAACCGAATTAACCGAAATTTATTCGGTTCGGTTAATATTTTCGAAAAAAAGTTCGGTTCGGTTAACGGTTAAAGAAAAAAAAAAGTTCGGTTAATTCGAAAATGATAGTTCGGTCGGTTCGGCCACCGAATTAACCGAATTAATACCCCTAGCAACGAGATAGGGTGAGGTTGCTTTTGCATTACCTAATTTGTCCCCAATATTTATAGGTACGGTTTTAGAAAATATGTATTATATGTTTCGGGGATTTTTTTTATCCTTATACTTATCCTTTATAGATCTCTGCTGATTTCGATTAATTCTCACCCCAAAAAAATTAACAAACATTTTTAAAATCGATACAACTCCTAAAATTTATAAGATATATCAAATTGTCTTAAATTGATCTCTATCTATAATGTGAATGTTTCAAACATCAATATTTGTCTAATAACTAATATATATATATACAATCTTAATCATTTTCAATCTCAACAAATCAATGTATATAAAATGAGAAAAAAAATATAAACTTCAATTTTAATTCATTTAATATGTAATAGTGGCAATATGTAATCTAATAATCTTATCATATATAATTTTTTATTAAAATATATATTAAGAGTATATAGTTAAATGATTATAAATATATTTTTAAAATTTTATAAAATATCAAGATTCCTATGGATATTTTTTAAGAATCTCAACAATTATTTATACAGATACAATTCAAATATTTTTCGAAAATATCTACAACTCGAATATAACAATCACCGTCCTAATCCCTATTTGAGCTTAGGAATAAAACTTCTACTGTCCTCATTCCCATGTGAAAATTTTGGTTATTTCTCATCCTGTGGGTTTTAATCTCCACGATTTTCAATTTTTCTCCTATCCGGTTGTCACCCTACCTCAAATTAACACGCTAGAATTTTCCTTCTCTTTCCCGAGAAAATTTAAGAGGGAAAGTCAATCAAATGGAAACCATATTCGCCCTCCGTCTCAAATCCCATCTCCTCTACAATCTCCAACTTCAAAATCCGCCATCTCCACCCACCTTTATATCTCCGCCGTCGATCTCTCATCTCGTGCCACCTCCAATCGCCGCCAACAGTCAATTCTTCACATCCCGCACATTCCGCTTCCTCTCCACGTCCACGCATCGAGTCCCCACCCGATCCAGAAAGGTTGATATCGGGGCCCGAGCACGCCAGCTCCAGACTCGTCGCCTCTGACCTATGCCTTAACATTCGGTTGCGTAGCGGGATTCGTAGTTTTAGTTCTCAACAATTTTCAAGATCAATTAGTTTTCTACGTCACCCCAACCGACACCATCGAAAAATACACGAAAAATCCTTCGAAAACGAAGTTCAGACTCGGCGGTCTGGTTCTAGAAGGAAGTGTGGTTCAGCCGGGTTCTTGTAAAGAAATGGAGTTCGTCATTACCGATTTGATAACCAATATTTTGGTTTGATACGAAGGTTCGCTATCGGATTTATTTAGAGAAGGACATTCCATTATTGTTGAAGGATTTATTAAGCCTTTTATGGAAGAAATTAAAAAGGACGTTTCGTCGAGGAGTGTATCTACGAAAGTAAGGAGCGACGACTGTTACTTTTCGATCACCGAGGTTCTTGCTAAGCACGACGAGAAGTATATGCCTCAAGAGGTTGCAGCTTCCATTGAGAAGAATAAGAAAAAGATTGAGGAAGGGCTGGAAGGAGCTAATGAAGCGATAGCTTGACATTGATATGACTGACATTTTTCACATGGTAATATTTTTTTTTGATAGGAATGGTAGGCCTCGTTAAAAACCCCCTTCATGATTAAAGGATCACAAGGTGCTCTTTAATCAGCGGAAGGACGAAAAGAGTGCCTAAAAATTCATTGATAACCAAAAGTTACATAAAACTTTAAAACTACCATACAGTCTCCCTTTACAATAACCAACCCAAAGCCTAAATTATAACCTAACCAAAACAAAACTGTATATCTAGCTAATACCAGCCTTAGCTAGACTATCAGCCTCAACATTGGTTGACCTAGCAACGCATCTAATAATACCATTTAAACCTCTGAACTTAGTAACAATGTCTGTCACTAAGTCTATGTAGACATAGGGACAACGATCGTTGTTCTTGACCCAATCCACTGCTAATTTACTGTCAGTCTCAACGATTAAACGTTCCTTAAAACGCTGCTGAATCGAAGCAAAGAAAGTTAAGCCTTTCTTAATTGTCATAAGCTCTATCAAAATAGGAGGACCTGGACCAACAACCTCTTGGAAAGAACCCACCACCGAGCCATCATCAACTCTTAGAATGCCCCCAACACCACTTTTCCTCCAATCTGTAGTCACA